TGGGACAACTTAAGGTAAAGTGTATTTTCTCAATAAGAACAGAGCAGTGAGGTTAAAACTACATTCTAGAACTAGTAATACTCTTCCAGGAGATGGAAGTAAATAAGATGAGGTTGATGAGGTCACCACAGGTTAAGTTTGGGCAATCATATAATGGGGGTGCAGGTGGGTCCTTGTCAGAGCAAGCCATTGATTTTTTCTATGGTTAATTTTCAAGGTTTCTAGAATAGGAGGTGATAGTAGACTTGTCCCTAAGGGGACATGGCAGAGACTGTCTTTGCTGGAGATGCAAACTAGCTCTGAAAACAGAAGGCAGTGGGAAAGTTGGGAGAAATTGTGATGTAAAGAATAGTCCTGAATCCTCTTGGAGCTTGTTGCTGTGCTGGGCAAGTCTCTTATCTCTTGTAGCCTCAAATTGCTCATTGGTAAGATGGGAATAATAATTTCAACTGCAGAGTGCTTTAAATACCAAATAAGATGAATGTGAAAATACATAGTAAACCATAAAAGACCAAACAAACACAGGCTACCAAAAACGTGAAAGTCGCTCAGTTGTGTCTGACTCTTTGCAACCCCATGGACTGGTCCATGGAATTCTCCAGGCCAGAATACTGGAGTGGGTAGCTTTTCCCTTCTCCAGGGGATCTTCCCAACCCAGGGACTGAACCCAGGTCTTCCACATTGCAGGCAATTCTTTACTAATTGAGCCACAAGGGAAGCCCAAGAATATTAGAATGAGTAGCCTATCCCTTCTCCAACAGATCTTCCCAACCCAGGAATCAAACCGGGGTCTCCTGCACTGTAGGTGGATTCTTTACCAACTGAGCTATCAGGGAATCCCAGGCTACAAAAATAATAGCTAATAGTTACTGATTATTGCCTACGAGCCAGTGTGCTAAGTGGTATGCTTTCTGTGCCCAGTTTCAAGGTCATGGTAGCTAGCTGGATAATGTCCCTTCAAAGGTGTCCTGTGTTCTCATCACAGGAACTTAATATGCCAAAAGGAACTTGGAAAATATGGCCAAGAATCCTCAGATGGGGAGGTTATCTTGGATTATCCTGTCAGGCTCTAAATGTCATCAGACAGGTCCTCTTAAGAGGGAGGCAGCACATTGCAGTGAACAGTAGGAGGTATGACAACAGAAGCAAGAGGGTGGACTGGTACAAGGAAGGAACCATGAGCCAAGGAATAGAAATCCGCCTGCAATGCAGGAGATCCTGGTTTGATTCTTGGGTCAGGAAAATACCCTGGAGAAGGGATAGGCTACCCACTCCAGTATTCTGGCCTGGAGAATTCCATGGACGGTATAGTCTTTGGGGTCGCAAAGAGTCAGACACGACTGAGCAACTTTCACTTTCATAGGCTGTGAAAGACAAGGAAATGAATTTTCCTCAAAGCCTTCCAGAAGAAACACAGTCCCGTGAAACCATTTCAGACTTCTGATCTCTAGACTGTATGAGATAAGTCTGTGTTGCTTTAAACCATATAAAGTGTGGTAACCTATTACAGCAGCAATAGACAAAGAAGACAGGCATCATTTCTGGAGTCAAGTTCTGGTACCACCACTTGCTTCATCCTTGACATGGAGATGATAGAAAGTGCCTGCCTCATCCGGTGGTTGTAGGAATTAAGTGAGATGGTGCAAGTAGAACCCACAACTCGATACCTGCCTGGCCTACAATAAGCTCTTGGTTAATGTTGGCAATTATTAGAACCATCTCCTCGAACCACCAACAAAGCTCTGTGAGATCAATGCTGCTAGTTTCCACATGTTAAACAGGAGGAAACCTAGTAAGATTAAGGAAATTTATTCATGGTTGCACAGCCTGTAAGTAGGAGAGTCAGAATCTTAACAAAGTCTTTGCCTTTGAGGCCATGCTCACTCACTCTTGGGCTCCCCAGGTGGCACAGTGGTAGAGAATCCATCTGGCAATGCAGCAGACACGAGTTCGATCCCTGGGTCAGGAAGATCCCCTGGAGGAGGAAATGGAAACCCATTACAGTATTCTTGTCTGAAAAATCCCAAGAGCAGAGGAGACTGGTGGGCTACAGTCCGTGGGGTCACAAAGAGTCGGACACAACTGAGCACACACCTACTCTGCTCCTCTGTGTCAGGGTTATGATAACACCACCTTCATCAAATGCCAGCTGCTGAACCTGGAGCACAAGAACCAGATAGCGCTTTCTGCATGGGCAAAAGCCACCAAGATTGGAAATCAAATAAATCTGGGCTTATTAGGGAAAAAGAAACTGTAGCTTCCATGGAGAACAGCGTCCAAGAGGTTACCAACCCTCTGAGGTCCCTGGGCCAGCAAATCATGGAAGTCTGAATACTGTGTTTGGTCATTTTGGTTCTGGAATAATTGCTATTATCATAAATGTTTTATTGCCCTCATTACGGCTCACATTTAAATATCAGTGTAGTAATACATTAATAAGTCATCACTACCGGACTCCTGCCGGATGCTGTTACAATCCAAGTCCTGTGTATAACTGCACTGTATATTCAGCTAAATTAGGGCTGGCTTGAACTCAGTCTGATATCGAGTGGCTGGGCATGTTTGGAAGGCAGCCTCTTTTCTGTAAAGGCTTCTTGAGCTCTTTGCTTTTGAGAGATAAGGGGGACACAGATTTTTGTCTGATTAGTGAGTCAACAATTCTAATTAGGTCTCCCCCAGGTGTGGAGCCTAGCACTCTGGGATGGATAGAAGAGAGATGAAGGCATTGCTTCCACCCTGGAGGCATTCCTAATCTCCTGGAGAGGGGGTGGGGTAGGGAGCATGAGCCTCACTCCTGGGAAGCTCCCTGTCAAGACAGGATGGCCTCATCTGATCGGAGTGATAAGGTCTTGCACCCTATGTGATAATGTATTCTGAATACTTCCTGGGTGGATGAAGACAGGATGGATTCACACACCCACCCACCCACCGCCCCCCACACACAAATCTATAGAAAAGATAAGCCACATGCAACAGAATAGGTTCAAGTTCATAAAATGCCAAGTGTCAGAATTGATGCATTAATGAATTCCCTGAGTGAGTAGAAGCTGGCAATGTAAATTTGGTTGATTCCACTTTATCATACCATATGCCTAAAAGAATGCCAGATACGGAGTTGGTGCAGAAGAAATACTGGGGGAGAGAGGAAAAAGTATTAAGTTCTGTGCCTGTGTGTAAACAGATTTCCTCTCGGTCTTATTGGCCAAAGGCCTTGAGAAATAGCCTGGGTCGAAGGGGATGTGGTTCCTGGAGTCCTGCTATGGACTAGGGTCCCCAGGGGAGAAGGCATCTGTGCAGACCCCTTCAGTGGGGTGGATATAGGGGCCTCTGTGTGCAGTGCATGATAAAGCTCTGTTTATATTCCCTTGGGCACTGGGGTTGGGTGAAGGGAATGGGAATGACGAGCACAGGGCTAGGTTCTCTCCACCAAAGTCTGTTAAATGGTAGCCTTGGATTATAGTTATCTATATCCTGATCTCATTCTATTTCATTTTGGTCCATTGATGGAGCTCACATCCCTTTCTTCCCTTTTCCCCCATGCACCAAGATACCAGAGGAGTTCCCATCCATGGTCATGGGGAGTCGCAAGAGAGAGACTTAATCCCTGTCCCTACAGAGCTCACAGACTCACTTAGGATGTGCTTGAACAGTCAGAAGATACCTGGAAACTACTCATAAAATAACCTCTCCACATAGTATCCTGTGAAGCAGTGTGTGTAATGGGCAGAGCAAGGAGTTTGGAGCAAGATAGTGCAGGTTTCACTCTTGAACTGTTGGTGGGAATGTAAATTGATACAGCCACTATGGAGAGCAGTATGGAGATTCCTTTAAAAACTGGGATTAAAATTACCATTAACCCAACAATCCCACTCTGAGCATATACCCTGAGAAGATCATAATTGAAAAAAAACACATGTACCCGCAATGTTCATTGCAGCACCACTTATAATAGCTAGGGTGTGGAAGTAACCTAGGTGGCCATTGACAGATGAATGGATAAAGAAGCCATGGTACAGATATACAGTGGGGTGTTACTCAGCCATAAAAAGAAACATATTTAAGTCAGTTTTAATGAGGTGGATGAACCTAGAGCCTATTATACAGAGTGAAATAAGTCAGAAAGAAAAATAAACATCGTGTATTAACATATATATGGAATCTAGAAAGACGGTATTGATGAGCCTATTTGCAGGGCAGCAGTGGAGACACAGACATAAAGAGATTTTTGGACACCATGGGGCAAGGAGAGGGTGGGATGAATTTAGAGAGTAACATATATGCTACCATATGTAAAATAGACAGCCAATGGGAATTTGCTCTGTGAGGCAGGGAGCTCAAACCCAGTGCTCTGTGTCAACCTAGAGGGGTGGGATGGAGTAGGAGGTGGGAGGGAGGTTCAAGAGAGAGACTATGTAAACCTATGGCCGATTCACGTTGGTATATGGTAGAAGCCAGCACAAAATTGTAAAGCAATTATCCTCCAATGAAAAATAAATTTTTTTTAAAAACAGTGTTGGGGTTCAAATCAGCTGTGTATCCTTGGAAGCATGATTTTACTTCTCTGAAGCTCAGCACCCCCATCTGTAATGCAAGGATAAAGGCTGCCTTGTAGGGTTATGTGTAACTGAGCAAGGTGTTGGGTATCTGTTTCCTTCCCTCTGAAATGAGGACAATATTTAATTGGTGTTGTGTTATAGTTGTGGGAATTAGTGACATTGTAATGAAACACTCACAATAGGACTTCATAAGGGCAGCCTTATTGCTCCAGGTAGTAAGTAGCAAGAGGGCAGCAGAGGGGAGGAGGGATCCTCCTTGAAAAAGGGATCTCTTCTCATCTATGAGATTCTCTTCTAATCTGGAGACCCATCCACTGCTTGACCCATGGCTGCTGAGGGATGGTCCCTCTTGCAGTCATATCCATCCCTCCCCCACTGTCCATAAGCATCCTGGCACCCCCCACGATGCTCCTTTGTTGACGTGTTTCTCCTCTCTGTCTGCAGCACCCTCAACAACAACAACATTAGCCGCATCCTGGTCACCAGCTTCAACCACATGCCGAAGATTCGAACCTTGTGAGTAAAGGTCCCTGCTTCCTCCCCCACCTGCTCCCACCCTTAGGTGGCCCATGGGGCAGCACTCTTGGCTGCTTGTAAAACTTCACCCTTGGTTCCTGCATCCAAATGCCTCCTCCTTCAGCTATTGACTAAGTGGTGTGTTAGTGTTGCAGGGAAGGGTCACGGAGCTGTGCATGGTTCTGCACCACCTTCTTGCTCTGGGCTGGCTCATTTCTCTTCATCCTGGGAATCTTCCTCGACTGGGGAAATCTTTGTGTTTTCTCATTAGTTGGAAAAGTTTGTTAGTGTTATGTTGTCATTAGAATAGGGATGTGATAGTTCATCATTTGTTTAGGTCATGTCCTGTACTGTTGGCAGTTCTATTGTATTGTCAAGGGTTACAATTGTTTTCCCAGATGGGTCAGTGGCAAAGAACCTGCCTATCAATGTAGGAGACACAGGAGACACGGATTCCATTCCGAGGTCGGGAAGATCCCCTGGAGGAGGAAATGGCAAGCCACTACAGTATTCTTGCCTGGAGAATCCCATGGACAGAGAGCTACAGTTAGGAAGTCTTATCTCATCCTTCACCCCATCCTCCTAGTCCCCACCCACCATGCTTTCCTGCTGCATGGATGATATTCTGGTATCGGAATGCAGTTACTCAGTTCTTTATCTGTAATGAGTTGGGTGGGCTCAACCCCTCCAAAGTATGTACTCAAGAAGCGAATCTCCGCTTAACAGCCCATGCAGAGAGCATGTCTAGTGCCTTTATTGCCTGAGAAGATCCCCTCACTGAGCCAGAAACTGTTTCTCTGCAAATGGACTCTGCCGATCTGTCAAAGAGATTGGTACTTGATGCTTTTCTTGTGTTGATGGACCCTCAGCGGAATTTACATCACAGTAGTAGGGGAGAGTCAGCCCTGAGAGCAAAGTGCCTGGCACTTAGTGAACAACAGGTATTTATAGTTAAATTATTATTATGATGATCATTGTCATACTATTTATCTAGAAATCTGGATTAAAAATACCAAGCATCCAGCTTATCTATGGCCCCTGAGCAGCACTGGATCCAGGGAGATATGAAACTCCTTAGAGCAGTGGTTTCCAAAGTGGGGGATCCCTAGACCAGTTATGTCAGCATCACCTGGAATTTGTTGAAAAGCAAGATCTCAGGTCCCACCTCAGACCCGTGGAGTCAGGATCTTTGGGGAGAGCAGTGTCTGTTTTTAACAAACTCTCCAGGAGATCTTGATACTGATAAGGTTGGAGAACCCCTGCGTTAGTGAGAAAGCGACCTTGTCTCAGGTAAGAATGAAGTAAAGATCAATGAAGCAATTGATGAGGAGCTGATACAAGAACACTCCCAGAAGGACACAGAGTTGGGAGTCAGGCAGTGCACACATGCGTGCTGAGTCGCTTCAGTCATGTCCAACTCTTTGCAACCCTGCCGGGCTCCTCTGTCCATGGCATTCTCCAGGCAAGAATACTGGAGTGGGTTGCCATGCAGTCCAGGGGATCTTCCCGACCAGGGATCAAATCAGTGTCTCTTGCATCTCCTGTATTCCTTGAAACTAGTGCCACCTGGGAACCCCAGAGTCAGGCAGACCTGAGGTCAGTGTGAGCTCGGACACTGTCTCTGGGCAAGCGGCTTTGTCCCTGTGCTCCTCACAGACAGTGAATTGATAAGTGCTTGCTTCAAAGTTGATGTGAAAACGAAATGTACTAACAGGGGAAGTTGCCTGGTCATGGTGTCCAGGCAACAAATACTACTAGCTAGTACTCAGTTCAGTTACTCAGTCGTGTCTGACTCTTTGTGACCCTGTGAACTGCAGCACACCAGGCCTCCCTGTCCATTACCAACTCTGGGAGTCCACCCAAACTCATGTCCATCGAGTCGGTGATGCCATCCAACCATCTCACCCTCCATCGTCCCCTTCTCCTCCTGCCTTCAATCTTTCCCAGCATCAGGGTCTTTTCCAATGAGTTGGTTCTTCCCATCAGGTGGCCAGAGTATTGGAGTTTCAGCTTCAGCATCAGTCCTTCCAATGAATATTCAGGACTGATTTCCTTTAGGATGGACTGGTTGGATCTCCTTGCAGTCCAAGGGACTCTCAAGAGTCTTCTCCAACACCACAGTTCAAAAGCATCAATTCTTCGGTGCTCAGCTTTCTTTATAGTCCAACTCTCACATCCATACATGACTACTGGAAAAACCATAGCCTTGACTAGATGGACCTTTGTTGGCAAAGTAATATCTCTGCTTTTAAATATGCTATCCAGGTTGAACATCTAAAAAACCAGCTTGAACATCTGGAAGTTCATGGTTCACATATTGCTGAAGCCTGGCTTGGAGAAGTTTGAGCATTACTTTACTAGTGTGTGAGATGAGTGTAATTGTGTGGTAGTTTGAGCATTCTTTGGCATTGCCTTTCTTTGGGATTGGAATGAACACTGACCTTTTAGTATTGGGTTAGCCAAAAAGTTCGTTCAGGTTTTTCCGTACCATCTTACGGAAACTCCACATGAACTTTTTGGCCACCCAATATGAAGGGGGCTCCAAGTTCAGGTTCCATCATGGTGCCCTGATTCTTCCTTTGATCCCTCCTGGGATGGCAGAATTCAGTCAAGAAAATCTATCCTCTTCCTTCCCTTGTAAAAGGGGATGATGCTGGAGAAACCACAGGGTCTTCAAAGGCCTCTCCGGAGTCCCCAGCAAACCACGAGTGGGCCGTGCATGGAGTGTGGCCTGGGGCTCCCAGCCGGAAGGCCGGAAGTGAGCCTCGGAGTGCATCTTCCCAGACAGTGGGTTGAGTAGAAGAAATATGGCTTTCAGCTGCAGAAACCAGCAGCCCAGCTCCTGTGGGCTGCTTCTCTGAGATTTCCGCTCCCTCTCCTGTTACTTTCCGTGGGAAAGTATCAGTATCAGAGCTGGGAGGGGGTCCCTGGGAGGCAGGGCAGATGGCCAGGTCTGGATCTTGGGCGCCCTGTGTGGGTGTTGTAGCTGCTAGAGAGGAGGGCAGGAGAGTTTCTTCTGCTTGAGTCATACTTCCCTGCGTTCCTGAACACTCATCTGATGAGCTCAGATCAATCAATCAATCTCATCTGTTCTCTTTGCTCCCTGCCTGCTGCCATCTTCTCTTTAGTTTAATTTCAGAGATGGCGCTGTGGAGAACTCCCCAGAGAACCAAACTGACTAATCCCCCTTCACTGTAATTAAAGCGTGGTGGGGACGGGGAGGGGGGTGTGCTGGCGGTGAAGAAGGAGGGAAGAGGGGAGGGGAAGGAAGTCATAAATGGGATTTCTAAAGGAAAGCTTTTATATTGAATTCAGAAAGCCACATTTTATAGAAAATGAACACTGACCCTCTCTAAAAGGATTTGCTGGAAATTTAATTTAGTGTCTGTGGCTAAAAGGCACCTTCCACAAATTGGCATTTGTATTCATTCACCTTATCTCCTGTAAAGGTGGTTTTGCCAACATGCAATATGGTGTTTCCATTAGCAAAAGACCACAGAGCAACTGGCAGGAACCATCTAGCTGCCTTGATGCTGTGGTGGATAAGAGGTGATAACCTTGTACAGGCAGGACCTTGGGTTGAGAAGAGCCTGAAGTCTGGAGCTAGTCTCCGTACAGTAAGAATAATAATAGCAAATATGTCTTCAGTAGTTTATGGTATCCCAGATCAAGCACTAAGCACTTTTGTTTTTTAATCTTCTGGCCACACTGCATGGCATGCGGGATCTTAGTTGCCTGACCAGGGATTAAACCCACACCTCCTGCATTAGCAGCGTGGAGTCTTAACCACTGGACCACCAGGGAAGTCCCGTAAGCATTTTCCATGGATCATTTTGACCCACACAACAGCTCTAGGAAGAAGTCACCATTAATATCCCCATTTTATAGATGATAACACTGAGCATGCATGCTTGCATGCTCAGTCACTTTAGTCATATCTGACTCTTTGCGACCCTTTGGACTGTAGCCCACCAGGCTCCTCTGTCCATGGGATTCTCCAGGCAGAAATACTGGAGTGGGCTGCCACACCCCCCTCCAGGGGATCTTCCCAACTGAGGAATCAAACCTGTGTCTCTTATGTCTCCTGCATTGGCAGGCAGGTTCTTTACCACTAGCATCACCTGGGAAACCTGGTGACACTGAGAACCAGGGTTAAATCATGGCCCACGGTCAAAGTCAAAAAAGCACAAAGCCCATGTCAGATTCCGACACTTTGACCTCAGAAGCTGAGCTCTTCTCAGAAGCTGACCTCCTAGAGCTGAGCCCTAGGAACAAAAGCAGAAGGGCATCAGGGGAGCTGAGAAAGGGGAGACCTGAGCTTCCACATGGCTGAAGGGCCACAGGAGGCCACTCTCCCCTGTATCATCCCCATCACAGAAGTTACTGAAAGTAATCAAAATCACTTCTTTTCTCACTCAAGAAAATTAAGAATACTCCTGGCCATGTCTGGGCTCAAGTTTCAAGATCATTATGATTATTTTTTCTTTTAATATTAGTGTTTGGGATGATATTGCTCAATTTGATCTCCCAAACATGAAATAAAAGGCAACTTGAAAGACTCAGCTCAGCACAGCTCTCTAGGCAGGTAAAATTCCAAGAGGGGAGGCCTGAGCCCCTCCATGGCCCTGGGCTTTTGACAAGGGCCTTCATATGGCTTCAAAGACAGCCTGGGTCTCCTCTTCTCCATGTCCCTACTTGGGAGAGGAGAAATTCCTACAGAAACAAAGGGCTAAGGGCCATCTATAGCTGGCTTAAGAAGACGAGTTGCTTGGGACTGGCCGGTAGGGATTCAGGAAGAAACAGCCTAATACAATCTTCCAAAAGGAAAACCTCTGACATTTTGATTATCCCAGAAATTTTTCAGCTCAGTAAGGATCTGACTTACCTAAATCTCATTTGTGTTGTTTCATTGATCTCTTCCTTCTCATTGGAACTGATGGGAATTTGTTTGCATTGATCCGCCCTGTTTCCTTACCTTCCATATCTCAGCGCCAATGAGGGCAACTGTCTTGCCCAGTAAAAGCCAAACTCGTTCAAAGGCACACACACAAAAACCTCTGGTGCCTCAGCTTGTGTGTGCCAATGTAGCCCACCTCTGTGCCACGTTGTCACCAAGAGCTGACCCACTGCCGCCGTTTTCCCAGGCAGCCTTTAGAGCTGGTGGTGTGTTCCTGGCCATTCCGCTCTCTCTCTCTCAACAGCTCACTGATGGGTCAGGAGACAGACCATTTTCCCTCATGCTGCGATTTCCCAGCAGGTCCCAGTGCAGAAAAGGGATTCCCTTCTCCCCTTCGCGCCCTTTAGGAAAGAGTAACCAACTCCAGGTCCTCCGCCAGGCTCAGCCTGGCCTTGACACAAAGTGGTGTCTTTGTCGGAATACATACATGTCTTGCCTGCTTCTTAGCACTGAGGTCCTTCCCCCTAGCTTAGGGTTTTTCCTCTCCTCCCCCTTCCGTCCTGTTGTCCCTCCCTCCTGGAGTGCCAGCTTGAGAGGAAGCCAGGCTCACTTCCACAGCATCAGGACCTGAGCTTTGATGCTCAGAAGCGAGACTTGCTCTGGACCCATTACAAGCACAGTCTCTTTGCTCTTGCAACTGACTTTGATCTTAAAGTATTGGCTCTGAAATACAAAAAGAAAATTATAATATCACAATTCATCACTTTTAAACAAAATCATAAAAAAAATTTTTCAAATATTTTTCAGCAGAAAAAAAATTATATTCTGGGTGGAATGTGGGTTCATTTAGTCAGTCAGATACAGTGGGATCTGGGGCCCCCACCCCGATGTTGCCGAGTTCCCCGGTGGCCCTGGCTTACCCAAGGTTTGCACCCATGCAGTGGCAGGGAGTCTCTGCCTACAGGCAGCACAGACGAGCTGACTCAGCTGATGTTTAGCAGTGTTGACCTTGCACTAAGTGGAGTGTGGTCAAGAACCCTTCAGCTCTCTCCACATCAGGCACGGATGTAGCCTGAGCCCACTGCTGTGGGCTGCCACGAAGTATTAACTGGCATGACCCAGAGCACTCGGAAGTCCCCAGATATGGCTGGCTGGCTAGCACGTGGAGGGTGGGGCGCTGAAATTACATCAGAAAGCCCAGTGTATGGTGAGCTGTCGTGACTAGAACTTACCCGTGGGCTACTTGTAATGACTGAGGTTGTTAGGGAGTGTGGACCCTGGAAACCCCTGATACAGAACCTTAGGGAAGAACCTTTAGAAGCCCTGGCTATCCTTAGGTTGCCCTCCAGACAGTGGAAATGAAATTTCACTTAACCAGTTGGGGTTCCCCTCAGATGTGGAATCTGCAGATCCCTCTCAGGAATCTTACTCTGTCCAGGATGAGAAATCGACCTGGAATTATAGCTGCTAGAGGGAGAAAGCCCAAGAGTCCTGAAAACAAATGGAAAGCCTTTTCAGAAGCCCTGAAACAGTTAGAAGAGCAAATACACTGGGTGGAATTGAACTTGGGAAGGCGATAAAAGGCACTCCAGAGAGATTGTTCTGGTTTGCAGGAGTCTGTATGGATAATACCTTATTTAAATAGGAGGATGGAGAGAAGATGCTTTCTTCAGAAAGCCCCCTTCTCTTTGTGACCTGCTTAACCTGGCTAGTGCACACAGCGGTATTAGTTTTAGGCTCACCAGTGTGACATGAAAAGTGAAAGTCACTCAGGCGTGTCCGACTCTTTTCAACCCCAAGGACTATACCGTCCATGGAATTCTCCAGGCCAGAATACTGGAGTGGGTAGCCTTTTCCTTCTCCAGGGGATCTTCCCAACCCAGGATTCAAAGCAGGGTCTCCTGTGTTGCAGGTGGATTCTTTACCAGCTGAGCTACCAGGGAAGCCCAGCATGACATGAAGGGGGTCCATTAAAGAGATTTAGAGTGAAAATGAGGGAGGGAGAGAAAAGATTGTGGCAAATCATGGCCACAGTTCACTATAGACTGGGGCATGGAGATGAGGAAGTTGTTGCAAGCCATCTGTAACTCAAGTTAGCTGAAGTACTGACATTTGCACCTGAGTCACCCTTTTGGAATTTGGACTTGAATCAGGATTGTCAGTGTAGTAATGTCACCCTCCCTCTCCTATATGCTGAGGCTTCCCCAGGTGGAAATGAAAAGGGTGGAATTATTATTAAGAAATGGGAATTGCTCAGAACCCTGAAGGCCACCATTGGATGTGGCTGGTACGAGAAGATGACTGTCATTTGTGGCTTAGCAATAGCAGGGTTGAGGCTCCTGTGGCAATCTGCAGTGCCGAGGGCAGTTCTCCCCTGGGATCCCGAGGATTGTCATGCTGGGCAAGGGAGCATGGAGGCTGGGCACTCCGTTCTGCCAGTGGCAGCCTCCCCACTTCCTGCGGTGACAGCCTCTCTCCTTTGCACCCCCGCCCAGGCGCCTCCACTCCAACCACCTGTACTGTGACTGCCACCTGGCCTGGCTCTCGGACTGGCTCCGGCAGCGGCGGACCATCGGCCAGTTCACCCTCTGCATGGCTCCCGTGCACCTGAGGGGTTTCAACGTGGCAGACGTGCAGAAGAAGGAGTACGTGTGCCCAGGTGAGATGGCGTGGCTGCCCGCCCTCCCCTCCTGCCGCTCGCCCCCCTGCGGGCTCACCTCAGCCGTGAACGCGTGCCCAGCCCAGAGCTTGGTGTGGGGCACTCTAGTGTGCCTCCAGGCGTGCCAGAAAAGAGGCTCTTACTGAAGGAACTCATGGATCCCTTTCTGTTAAGCCTCAGAGTCCATCGATGCTAAGAAGCTAACATTCGTTAGGTGCTTTAACATTGGCCAAACGCATTCCTAAGCCCAGTTGCTCCTAGAAATTGAGAGTCAGGCTAATAGAGGCTATTTCCAAATCTGCTTGCTTGGAAATCTTAGCTCTGTCCCTTAGTGGTGTGTGACTTTGGCAAGTTGCTGCACAGCTGCCAACTGGAAATAATCATCATCTATAACTCAAGGAAGGGGTGGGAGGATCCAGCGAAATGATTCATATGAAGCACTTAGCATAATACACAGCACTTGGCGAGAGCTGATGAGTGGAGCGTAATTATTAGAGTTTAGTGGGCCCGCAGACGTGCCGAGCCAATGCGAGAGTTTGACCTGTGGGTAACTGAAGTGTAATAGGACAGAAAACAGAGCTGTGCTAGGATGTAACTGAAGGCAGCCTAGGTCCCCAGGATGCGAGGTGACTGAGTGACCTGAGAAACGCTTCTCAGAGGAGATTACCTTTGCCTTGGGTCCAAAACATTATTTGCTCGTTTGTTTTTACTTTCATTGACATTCTCCAGTTCCATCAAGTCTTCCCTTTTCTGGTGGCAAGGATGTAGAGCTAATCTCTTAATTGCCTCAAAAACAGAGAGTTATCAGTTGGAGAGTTCCCCAAAGAGGCATTCCTGAAATTCATGAGCTCAGTCGTGCAGCTGGGGTCCAGTGACTTCTAAAGACTGATCTTGGAGTGCTGATGTGTAGAAAAAGGAGCTTTTTTTAAATTTTAATTTTTTTTAACACCAAAAACATTTTGCACTGGGGTTTAGCCAATTAGCAATGTTGTGATAGTTTCAGGCGAACAGTGAAGGGACTCAGTCATACATACACATATTTCCATTCTCCCCTAACCCCCTGCTTCCATCCAGGCTGCCACGTAACATTGAGCAGAAATAAGGGAAAAGGAGCTTTCTCAGTACAGAAGCCGACTACATCTTAGGGGACCACGCGTGGCCAGGAGTTCAGGCTGGTCCTCTCCGGCTCTTAGGCTGCATTTGCCACATGTAGGAGTTTCCCCTGAATTCAGCTTCACACTCTGCTGCTTTCCCCTGTCATGTTACAGCTTCATCAAATTCTTTATCATCCAAAAACATTTTAACATGTCTCCGAGCAGTACCTCAACAATTTCCTATAGACACCCACTTAGAAATCACTTTCCATCAAACACATAATAAAACCGTTTATCATAGAGGCACCAAACTCAAATATAGTGACTGTAATTACAGTAATTATTAGGCAAAGGGTACAATATCGGCATAAGTGCCAGTGAAAGAAATAATTATAGAGTGCAGAAGTCATCCAAGAGCTAGTGAGAAAAACTAATTAGGGAAAATGGTAAAACACATCATTATAGGTGGGTGCCAAGTTTACAGCTACACACCAGCATGAATACACTCGTCACAAAAGCACCTTCCTGTCAGAGAAGTGCCAAGACATTGCTTATCCAGCAGCAGTCAGGACCCAAAACCCACGGTGGAAAGGCCGATCCTTCTGGGTCTTGAGGGTGCTGCTGCCCCAAGTCTCCCTCGTCTGAAAAGGCTGGATCTCAGCTCAGTTCAGTTGCTCAGTCATGTCCGACTCCATGCGACCCCATGGACTTCTGGACACCAGGCCTCCCTGTCCATCACCAACTCCTGGATTCACTCAAACTCATGTCCATCAAGTCAGTGATGCCATCCAACCATCTCAGCCTCTGTCTACCCCTTCTCCTCCTGCCCTCAGTCTTTCCCAGCATCAGGATTTTTTCCAAGGAGTCAGTTTTTCGCATCAGGTGGCCAAGATATTGGAGCTTCAGCTTCAGCATCAGTCCTTCCAATAAAAATCAAGAACGAATTCCCTTAAGAATGAACCAAAAGAGGGGTAAAAAGTAAAAAAGGGAACGGTAACCTTAACAAAACCCCCGGTTAAAACAAACCCGGTTAATACCGGGAAGGGCCCCGGAACCTCCTAAAAACAAACCAAGGGGCCTTTAAAGAAAAGAAAAATTAAACCAAAAAACCCAAAACTGAAAAAGCCGGTGTACCCCACCGTCTCACTCACAGTGTAAATTTAGGGGAGTGGCACATGGAGCCCCTATGCATGGGGGATTTTTTAGATGTTTTTCCCAGGTTCTGAAGAATTAAAAACAGGATGCTGTGCCAGGTTACTTTCTGAAAAGTCAATCGGATCCAATGGCAAGGGGAACTGGTGAGTTGAACATCATGGTGAATGAAGCATCGCATTAGTGGGGCTCAGGAGGAGCAGCCCCACTGAAAAGTGTTACATCTTTAATAATCATTCAAGGCAGTTGATGAGACTGTAAACAAAAGGGGTGCCGGAGGAAGCAGTGCAGAACAAGGCTCAGCCTATGTGCATGCAGGAGGTCAAAGAGATGGGCCCTTCTCATGTACCTGCCAGCATAACTCAAGCCCCGTGAAGTGAAGCCCACCTCTGAGGGCGCAGGCCCCGCCCCACAGCAGAGCCCAGCAAGGCATCTGAAGGAGGCAGTCTGGGACAGACCTGACGGCAGTTGTTTAAAGCTGCAAAGCCACCAGGGTTCTGCCTCATGCAAGCCGTTCCTCCCATCACCCACAGGAGATGGACTTCAGTGTGAACATTTCTTTAAAAAAAGAAGTCGTCTGCTCAGGAGACAGAAAGGCATAGGGCAGCAATTAAGCCGTCCCTTTGTGTATTCATCACCAATGGTCCCTCCCAGAGCAGCCTAAGAGAAACCTCCCTGCGCCCCTATGCAATATCAAAAATTATATTCAGGTAGCTCCCTCTGAATTAAATCTGGCTGTCTGGAGCCCAGTCTTTTCTCCCCAGAAGCCCTGGCTATAGGCCTCTTATCATGCCAGTTAACCCAGAAATTTGCTAGCAGCACACTTGGGTAAAATCCATCTCCTCTGTCAATGGTCCCCTTCAATCAAAGGCATTTATTTTCCTCCCCTGGGGAGACAACTGGAACTTTTTCACAAGGGTGGGAGACTATTTTATTTATTATTAATGATTTTCTATGATATACAATGGGATTGCTTGGTCTCCTTTCGTTCTTGCTGAAAGGATTTCTCTGTTAATTTTCCTTGTTTTAAGAGAAAGCTTAGGGCCATAGGACTAGAAGAGTTCCTGAATGGACTTTATGAGTTCATATAACAGATTGGAGAAAAAGTTCTGCTTTAGCCATGTTTAGGCTCATGTGAGTTGCAAGTTACTGAATTTTGTTTCCCATCCTTATGTAAAGGGCTTGTTTTGGAGTTTAAACTCTAGGTTTTCTCTTCCTTGTGTCAATTTCCCAATGCCCTAATATGATCAAGGGTATTAGCTAAATATTTGACCTGAGTTAATTATCTCTTTCCTCTGAACATCTTTTTAAAACTTTTCATTTTATATTAGAGTATGACCAATTCAGGTGACAATTCAGGTGACAATTCAGGTGCACAGCCGAGCAAGTCAGCCATGCATATCCATGCGTCCACTCTCCCCCAAAGCCCCCTCCCGTCCAGGCTTCCACTTAACGTTGAGCAGAGTTCCCTGTGCTGTACGGTAGGTCCTTGTTGGTTATCCATTTTAAATATAGTAATGTGTACATGTGGATCCAAAACTCCCTAGTTAACCCTTCCCACCATCCTCTGAGCATCTCTGAACCTGTTTATGTGTCTCTGAATGTGAGATGTCTCTTCATGAAGACTGATCCTGTCTCTGGTAACAAGGGGCCATGTGCCCCATCACCTAGAGCAGTGCTGGTTCCTAACAGCCTCTCAACAAACTCTTCCTCAGTTATTATTAAAATGAAAAAGGTGTATCTCCTTGGAAACAAGAAACTTTCTCCTTCTGCTTCCTTTTTTTTAAAATTTGAGACTAGTTACTAAGTATAAAGATAATTAAGGTAAGCCATGACAAGCCGCCCATCTCCTTAGGAGGTTTTAATTAAAACACCATAATTGGACAGTGCAGGAATGAGATTATTAGGTTTATTTAGCCATTCCCCAAATGATCATGCCTCTGGTATTTAAATCACATTCATTTATATTCTCATCATAATTGCTTGAGTCCCATTGTCATTCAGTCAGTTGTTGGCTTTTGAAAGGCCAGAGGGCAACAGGGATGCTTAATTTGAATACTGGAATTAATTTATTTCTACACGCTCACCAGGCCATTGGATTTTCCAACTATGTTCTTTCTGCTGGGTGAAGTCCTTCTTAAAGACAGACAGAGAGAAGCCCTACTGTAACACACGCATGTCGAGCAGCCTCCAGCGTGGCTGACTCGGTCTGAGTCTTGCCCCGGAACCTCCTCTTCCTGCTACCCAAGATTCAAGACTTTGACGTTTTCTGTTTCAGGGCAATAGAAAGGCATGGTGGGTGTCTTCTTGGCAGAGGAGATAGTAGAAGAGCCCTTCTATTACGGGAATAAACATAATGGATCTATGTCAGGGTATTTTTTGTTTTTAGTTTAATTGTTTTAAATCTTTTGGCCACACTATGCAGCATGTGGGATCTTAGTTCCCTGACCAGGGACAGAACCCAAGTCCCCTGCACTGGCAGCCTGGAGTCTTAACCCCTGGACCACCACTGAAGCCCCTACATCAGGGGTTTTGTGAGGATCAAGTGAGATGACACATACAAAGCACTTAATGCGGCACATAGGTAACACCCCATCAACGTTAGCTGCTCTTATGAGAATGACACAGCTGTGTCCATGGGCAAGCACGCTCCTCTCTCAAGACTTCTGTTTTCCCCCCATCTCCATGGCCCTCTCTGGATCTGAAGTTTAGTGACTTCGGCCTCACTCATCTGGGCAGACAAGTTAGGGCCTTTTTGCTTTTAGGGTGATGATCACCTTCATTTGCCAACAAGAAGAACGAAGATGAGGTGAGGGCTGAGCAGGAGTCGGCGCTGCTGCCTGCCCTGGTCACATCTGCATTCTTCTGCTCTTGTAGGACCGGAGGGCGGCCTGCAGGCAATAGGGGGAGGAGGATCTGTGCAGTGTCCACGTGGGAGCCCCCAGCTCTCACCCTGTGAGCGTTCTGGCCGGGAACACAATCCTGCCCTCTCCCTCGCTGAGGGCTCCCAGGGCTGGGAAGCCCTCCCTAAGATCAGGAAGGGCCAGCATGTCTGTTCCCCCAGAGCTCTGCCCTGCCCTCCCTGCAGACATCGGACCACAGTCCAGGAGTCTTAGGAGACCTCTGAAGGCTGGACATCTCAGCTCCCTCCTTGAGGTACCTCAGAAGTGGCTTTGACTCCTTACTGAAATTCTCGAGCTTTGGTAGTGATTGAGGAGAGGTGAGATGGTGCCCCAGAAGAGAGACAGGCACCTGGCCCGCATCCTTCCACCCCAGGGCAGTAGCGTGTTCGCGCTGGGCCTGAAAGAGGCCCAAGAGCAGAGGAGCCCGGGCACTCATTTTCAAATGAAGAAAGGAAGAGCAAGTGCATGTGCACGCCTAAGCTTATGAGAGGATGTCTTAGAGAGTAGGTGACAGAAGGTCTGCCTGCTGGTCCACCAGTGCGCTCTGATATAAGGCCTTGCTGTGCCAGGGAGGGAAGGGGGTGGTACCCATCAGCAGGCTCACTCGAGGACCGTGAGGACTCGTGGGTCCCCAGAGAACATATCATGCAATGGGAACACATGTGCACGGAGCAGGCACATACCTAGACAGACCCTCCCATTGAAGATCCGCACACGCTCCTTTTATCCCATATTAGAACTCTGTTCCCATTCCTCTCTGCTTCCTAGCCTGTAGTCATAGAATTCTCTGGGTGGAAAAGTAGGTGCTTCCATGCTTTGTCCCCCTTGGAAATCGACCGTCCCCTGCACCACCCTCTTTGGCCTCCGAGTGTGTGGACAGGAAAGGCTGGGAGGGGCGGCTTTGCAGGCAGAGCTCGGCGCGGGGATGTTTTGTTACAACAAGAGTGTAGCTCCCTCACCATGTATGAATACCTGGCTGGTGAGCTGCCAGCCCAGGATGCTGACAGAGGCTATAATTACCAATGTTTCCCTCTGTGTAATTAAAGGTGTTGTTAGTGACCTGGTTAAGGAATCTTTTCAAAGGCTTTTTGCCTTGACAACATCCCTTACAATGCAGCACAGCCTTTCTTCTGAATCAGAGCCACCCCATGAAACACCCAGCTTGTTTTCAGAGGGACTCAAAGCTGCAGTCTGGATCTGGTTTAAACAGAATTCATTTCAGCCTAAAAGTCAGAAGTGGTCTCTTTGAAGAAACTCCATTTCAGAACCTCCTGTTGCCCATAGGAGTACCAGAACATAATGTCTTTCTTCCATTCTTTGCTGACACACCCCGTCTACATCACAGTTTGACAGGTCAAAAGAGGCACGGCCGTCGGAGACCCTGTGCCTCAGTGGATGGAAAGGCAAGTGCGCAGGCCCAGGGCGCTCCGTGCAGCCCCTGACACTTGCCCTCCAGGAAGGGGCAGGGTGTGGCATGCCTCCCCGGCTGGCCAGGCGCCCGAGCCCCTTGATGTGGAGGGCCAGGTGTGGTGGTGTTCTCTGGTGGGCACCACTGCACTTACAGAAGCCCTGACATCTGCAGCCTTCCTGCTCTGAGCCTCCCTGGGAGGATGTGGGTGAGGGGACGAGAGCCCGGCCCATGATAGATCTTCTTCGCGACCTGTGAAGAGACGGAGCAGAGGAGGGGAGGCTGTCAGATGTCTCAGTTCTCCTGCTTCCATTTGTCTGAAGAGCAGTGGTCGACCTTTAGACTCAGAAAGGGTGTCAGTGGTGTAGTCGAACCTTCTTGTTCACTGAGATGGCAGCAGAAAAGTTCAGGGTGGGTACTATGACTTGCCCAGCATCCTGCAGACAATCTGCGGCCGAGCCAGACCCATTATTAATAACAACAACAATAACAAATAACACGACTGAGCTCTAACTGTGTGCCACAAACTCTTCTAAATACTTTACATGCACTAACTTCGCCTTCACAACAAAGCCATGCTGTGAAGTAAGTTTTGTTGTTTCCCCCCGTTTTAAAGATGGGGAAAACTGAGACAGGAGGACTTAAGGGTGATAGTATAGAATCAGGGTTCAAATTGAGCCAGTGGGACTCCAGAGCCCACACTTTGGGCCACAATAAACTCATTCCTGACCTGAGTTTCTTACAGGCCAGCCCTCTGGGTTTGTCATTTGCTCAGAAGTGTAAAGACTTTCCCAGTTTGGAACAAAGCCAGCACCACCTCTCTGTCTAAGAGAATGCTTCACTTGGGGATTTTAATGTAAACTGTCATCTCACTGGCATTTTCCATGGTCTCTGTTAGATCTACTAGTGTGATTCTGGAGAGTTTGAAGTCCTTGTACCCTACACAAGAATGTTTTCTTGAATGTTCCATCTAAGAGGATGTTTTGAAATTGTGTGCGTGCTAGTGTGTGTGTGTGTGTGTGTGAAAGTGAAGCCAAGGGAAGTAAGAAGCTTTGGTCACTGAGTCAGCCCTTTCTAGCAAAGAGAATATTCCTAAGTAAGCCACAGGCATCTGTTTGAGCCTTAAAGAAGGACCACCCCCAGGCATAGGGACTGCTGAATGCAGAGGAGGGCCTTCCACTTTAAGGCTCACTCAGTGTCTGAACAAGGACTGAGCCCGGGCCTGATCAGTCCTCTGATCCAACCTCTGTAGTCAGACTTGCTCTGGCTTCCCAGCCTCAGCTGCTGCAGTGAACAGGGGCAAAACCAAAGTCATCCTTCTCTACAGACACTTTCCATGTTTCACGTTTTGTCTTTGGCCAAGAGCCCCCGACCAGGTATTCCGTGTCTGAACAGTGAGGATGTTTGCAGAGTCGGTCTGAATCTGCTCCCAGCCAGTGGCCCTTCGCTCTGAGAGGGGGACCTAGAAAGACATTGAAATTGTTCCTGCTGGCTGGATCCCCGGTGTGGGGTAAGGTCCTGAGGAGGCCATTGAGTTGAGTTTACCTTTTGGGCCATCCTGTCCACATTTGAAAAACTAACCACAGGTTTGAGAGTCTTATTTCACTTTGAAGAAACAGTCATAATATGAAAACTTATACACCATGTTTTAAATTAGAATTTACTTCTGTTAGTGATTTGATGTGACCACCAGAGAAACTGATTAAGATTCTTATGACTCTCTGAATCTTGAGTTAGTTTGCCAGTGTGTATGTTTATTTTCACTTGGCTTTCTTTCTTTCTTTTTTTTTTTTTTTTTACANTTGCGTTGGAAGCACAGAGTCTTAACCACTGTACCACCAGGGATCTCCCCATTGGCTTTTTATTAATAAATAAGCACCTTCCATACCATTTTCTTGTTTTTTTTTTTTTACCACTTTGCATTACATTCACATGGGTTCTCACCTCAAGCAAAATTAAGGCCCCAAAATGTGTAGTAACTTATTCACCTTTTTTTCTCATAAGTTTTATTTGCATGATCTCTGGACAGAAAAGCTCTTTGAACAGGCATTGAATGTTGCTGTTGATGGCTGTATTGACATTCGGTCAACATTAGTGCCCCCAAATGGGGAAATTCTGTCAACTTTTCTCCTCACACTTGGGTTTGAGAGGACCTTTCAACTACTTGAGAAAGGAAAGGTGTATCCACACTCAGTATCCAAGCCCCAGATAAAAGATCAAAACCTCGGCGTGTCATTCAGACTTTGGACCCCTGAAAAAGTAGTCCCAGTGTATGTTCTTTGCAGTCCAGTGGTCCAGTGGTGTATTTCCATGTGCAGTTGACTCTGAGAGCACCTCTGTGACTGAAAAGCTGGCATGATCAGATGACAGAACAGGTGGAAGAATCCAGAATGGTCAAGGTCAGGCTCTCTCCTCTTGGCTGAATATTTAGTTAGTTGCACCTGTGACTCCCAGATGAGGGGTGATGTCAGCTGGCGATCATTTTTCAGGTAGTTGATGTGGTAATGCTGCCTTCTTGGGAAGCTGGTTAAGGATCACAGAAGCCCAAGGAGTTCCTCACACTGACATGAGTTGACCACTGTGTTCTGACCCCACAGGCCCCCACTCAGAGCCTCCAGCCTGCAATGCCAACTCCATCTCCTGCCCTTCAGCCTGCACTTGCAGTAATAACATCGTGGACTGTAGAGGGAAGGGCCTGACGGAGATTCCCGCCAACTTGCCAGAGGGCATCGTTGAAATGTAAGTGCCCGCCTGCCACCATCTGTCCCTGATGAGTTCACCTCGTGGTCTCGGCCAGTCCCCACAGGCTGGCGGCATGTTGGGCCGTTAGAGCTGACTGTTGAAAATGCTCAGCCATCTCTTTGCTCTCCTTCCATACTTTCCAAGGTATGACCGTTCAGAGGTTAAGAGCGTAGATTCTCAAGCATAGTCAGCACATGACAACCCATAGACAAAATATGTCCACCACCTATTTTTGTAAATAAAGTTTTATTAGAACAGAGCCACACCCATTCATTTACATATTACCTATGGCTGTTCTTGTTGGACATTATTGAGTAGTAATGACAAAGGAACTTACACCCCACCAAGCCTAGTGTATCTTCCATCTAGCCCTTTACAGTAGAGGTTTACCAGTCCCTACCCTAGAGTCACTCCATGATTGTATCCTAATTCACCATGTACAAGCTGTATAATTATGGGCAAAATAATTGTTCTCTTTCATCTTTAGTTTTCTTATAGTAATGTGATAATTACAGTATTACTCAACAGATCATGAAAACTAAATTAAGTACCACATGGAAAGCACTTAGTACAGCCCTTGACATAAGGGCAAGTCTTCTATGAAATGGTGGTGGTACAAAGTGTATGAACAACAGACTAATTTTATAGCTACTGTTACAGAGCAGGAGACTGAGCTCTTCATCATTCTGAATCAGATTATTGTCATCCAGATTAGGCCTTAAAGACAAGCTTGTGTGTGTCTGTGTGTGCACTGATGTTCAAAATTTCAAGAAAATTCATTTGTCCATGTAGCTCAATCTCACATGTTAAAAAATGGCCAGTGTCTCATTCTGGATTTGTGGGTCAATGAACACTGACCTCAAGATCACTCCTTACATGACAATAATTGTTAACATTTTCTACCTTTACTTTTAAATGGCTTTATTAAACATTGGTTAGATGGAACCCCTCTCACTAAAAGCATCATTAGATAAAATCCCTCCAAATAGGAGATATTGTATACATTTCCCTCACCTCTCTGCTACACCTCACCTCTCCCTACTCCCCCTCCTTCCCCCTCCTTCTCTTCCCTTTTCCCCTCTTCCACCACCTGTTTGTCCTCTTGTGTGTTCCCTTCTATTGCCAATGCATTCCAGTAGATAGCCAAACTGACCCTTTCATTCATTCACGGGTTCATTCAACAAACATCTTTTGTGAGCCCACTGTGGTCCAATGATAATTCTGTGATTATGGAGCAGCAATGAACAAAATAGACCAATTTCTGCCCTTATGGTGCTTGCATTGCAGTGGAGAAAAGAGTGCAATGAACAGTAAACAAACCAAAGTAAGTCAGATAATATGGTAGAAGATGGGAGGTTCTGTGGAGAAAAGCAAAGAAGCAAGAGAGAAAAAGCAAGTGGATATCTGGAGGAGAGTCTTGCACACAGAGAGGACAGTGTGTGCAAAGGCCCTGAGGTAGGGCTGAGCCTGGTATACCAGAAGGCCAATGTGGCTGGAGTGGAGTAAACACAAAGGAGAGCCTTAGTGGTTGAGGTCAGAGGGCTCATGAGGGGCCAGATCATGGGGGCATTTTAGGGACTTTGGTTTCACCCACTGAGACGAGAAGAAGCATCTAGCTTGCAACACAGGGGCCTTAGTTTCGTCTTTCTTCGTCCGCTTTGCTAACTTTTCTCTGATTCCATTTGAACCACTCTCACCCAGCCCCAGTGGACACACTCTGTGCCTCCACACCCGTCCTGTAGGCAGGAACGAGTTAGCCAAGTGTGGTTTTGGCCTGACACCCATGCCTCCTGTGCCTTCCCCCACCTTCACTTGGTCTTCTTTCAGCAAGAGCAGTGAATGCCCTTTGTGCCTCACTGGGATGTGGCTTCATCCCTCCTGGTCCATTGCCCCAGCCTTGGAGAATCCTTCCTTCCACGGACCTCACTTAGACCTTACCACCTGTCCCTCTTGGCCCCTCCCTGCCTGTCTGCCTCTCTTGATCCATTCTCCTGCCCCCTTCTTTCCTTTTCTGCACCCGTGATCTTTCCACTTCCCTCGTCAGCCAGGTCTCCTTCTCCGCCCTGTTCACCCTGTGCTCCTCGTTACAGGAGCCTGCCCCTCATCTTCCATCCAGGCCAAAGTAGGACTCTGATCCTCCAAAGGTGGATGTCAAGGCAAAATTCCTGACAACGCATGCCTCAGTTCAGATTCGCATTTTTGAATATTCCTGTCTCTGCACCGCCTCACTTCTTTCCCCTTCCATCTGCCAGGTTTTATTTTTTCTCTTTGGCAACCACAGAGCTTCCCTTGGCCAGGTCTCAAACCATAGCATGATGGAAAAGGCCAGTCTAATAATCACACTGTAACCACTGACCCCCGCACCAGCCCTGGTTCAGGAGCTCAGGCCTGCTCACCCTCCTTTCCTATTCCATGTGCCTACACTTCCAGCTTGGCCCTGGCAGGCTCTCAGATCAGGCATCTGAGGGAGAGAAATCACAGACCTCCACACTGGAGGTGAAGCCCATGGAGGCCAGACCACACCTAGGCCATTGGGCTCACACCTGAACATTGAATTTTAAAAAGGAACATGGACAGGCTAGACTAGTTATTTCTGAAAGCCTGTCTGATTATTACTGAGTTTTTTCTTAAATGAGGTAAAGTAACAATAACAAGAATAATGTGATGTTTTTCCATTGAGCAAAAAGATTCCATTTAAAGAAGCATCTTTTATTTTAACATTCTAGACTTCCTTATTCCATTACCATTATTGTGAAAAATATTCTTCATTTTATAAAATGATGGGCACTGAAGGAAGAATATGTGTGTATAATAGAAATGTGTTTAATTATATGTGTGAATATTATATAATTATAAATATATGCCTGTATATAAATAGTATGTATAACAGACACACAGAAATTGCCTTAATTGATTGAATAAGAGGTCTAAACCACCTCAGTTCAGTTCAGTTCAGTCACTAAGTCATGTCCAACTCTTTGCAACCCCATGGACTGCAGCACGCCAGGCTTTCCTGCCCTTCACCAACTCCTGGATCTTGTTCAAACTTGTGTCCATTGATGGTGATGCCATCCAACCATCTCATTCTCTGTCATCTCCTTCTCCTCCTGCCTTCAATCTTTCCCAGCATCACAATCTTTTCTAATGAGTCAGCTCTTCACATCACATGGCCAAAGTGTTGGGGCTTCAGCTTCAGTGTCAGTCCTTCCAATGAATATTCAGAGTTGATACCATTTAGGATTGACTTGTTTGATCTCCTTGCTGTCCAAGAGACTCTCAACAATCTTCTCCAACACCACAGTTCAAAAGTGTCAGTTCTTTGGCACTCACTTTCTTTATGGTCCAACTCTCACATCCATACATGACTACTGGAAAAACCATAGCTTTGACTAGATGGACTTGTCGGCAAAGTATTGGCTTTACTTTTTAATATGCTGTTTAGCTTTGTCATAGCTTTTCTTCCAAGGAGCAAGTGTCTTTCAATTTCATGGCTGTAGTCACCATCTGCAGTGATTTCAGAGCCCAAGAAAATAAAGTGTGCCACTGTTTCCATTGTTTCCTCATCTATTTGCCATGAAGTGATGGAACCAGATGGCATGATCTTCGTATTTTGAATGTTGAGTTTTAAGCCAGCTTTTTCACTCTGCTCTTTCACTTTCATTAAGAGGCTCTTTAGTTCCTCTTTGCTTTCTGCCATTAGGGTGGTGTCATCTGCATATCTAGGTTATTGATATTTCTCTTGTAAGTCTTGATTCCAGCTTGGGCTTCATCCAACCTAGCATTTCTCATGATGTACTCTGGATATAAGTTAAATAAGCAGAGTGACAATATGCAGCCTTGACGTACTCCTTTCCCAATTTGGAACCAGTCTGTTGTTCCATGTTCAGTTCTAACTGTTGCTTCCTGACCTCCATACAGATTTCTCAAGGTGGTGTGGTTTTCTATATCTTTAAGAATTTTCCACAGTTTGTTGTGATCCACACAAACAAAGGCTTTCATGTAGTTAATGAAGCAGAAATAGATGTTTTTCTGGAACTCTCGCTTTTTCTGTGAGCCAATGAATATTGGAAATTTGATCTCTGGTTCCCCTGCCCTTTCTAAATCCACCTTAAACATCTGTAAGTTCTCAGTTCATGTATTTTGAAGCCTAGGTTGGAGAATTTTGAGCATCACTTTGCTAGTGTGTGAGATGAGTGCAATTGTGAGATAGCTGGAACATTCTTTGGCATTGCCTTTCTTTGAGATTGGAATGAAAACTGACCTTTTCCAGTCCTTTGGCCACTGCTGAGTTTTCCAAATTTGCTGGCATATTGAGTGCAGCACTTTCACAGCATCATATGCATCCAGATGGATATATTTTTCCTTTTCTCCTTTGCCTTTAGCTTCTCTTCTTAGCTGTTTGTAAGCCCTCCTCAGACAACCATTTTGGTTTTTTGCATTTATTTTTCTTGGGGATGGTTTTGATTACCACCTCCTGTACAATGTTACGAACCATTATCCATAGTTCTTTTGGCACTTTATCAGATCTAATCCCTTGAATCTATTTCTTACTTCCACTGTATAATCATAAGGGATTTGATTTAGGTCATACCTGAATGGGCTAGTGGTTCTCCCCACTTTCTTCAATTTAATTCTGAGTTTGGCAATAAGGAGTTCATGATCTGAGCCACAGTCAGCTCCCAGTCTTGTTTTTGCTGACTGTATAGAGCTTCTCCATCTTCGGCTGGCTGAAAAGAATATAATCAACCTGATTTCGGTGTTGACCATCTGGTGGACATCTGGTGATGTCCATGTGTAGAGTTTTCTCATGTGTGGTTGGAAGATCATGTTTGCTATGACTGGTGTGTTCTTTTGGCAAAATTCTGTTAGCCTTTGCCTTGCTTGATTTTGTACTCCAAAGCCAAACTTGTCTGGTACTCCATGTATCTCTTAACTTCCTACTTTGCATTTCAGTCCCCTATGATGAAAAGGACATCTTATTTTCGTGTCAGTTCTAG